CAGCCGGGCCTCGCCCATCTCCATGGCTGCCGGCCACCCCCGACCCCGGAACCCCGGGCCGGAGCCGCGGCGGGAGAGCGGACTAGCGGCTACTTCCGGCGCGCGGCAGTGAGGTCACGACGCGGAAGGGCGAGTTGAGGCGGCCATCTTGGATGCGGCTCGGCGCGCGGCCATGTTGGGCCAAGCGACGGGGCGGCAGCGGCCATGTTGGGTGTGGCGCGGCGGGGGCGGGGCAGCGGCCACGTCGGGCGCAGCAGGAGTGGCGCCTTCCCCGGGATGCAGGCGAGGCCTACGTCGTGCGCGCTGCCCCCGGCTCGGGTCCGCCGGGGCAGCGCGGGACCAGGCCTGTGCCCACGCAGGGCCGAGCTCTGAGCTGCGGGCCCAGCCCGTTGCCAGCCTAGCAGCTCCACAGCTGTTTGCACCACGCCACGTCCGGGAGTTGCATCTGCCTCCTCGCGGCGTCACTGCTGGACGTGGTGCTGCCCCGCTGCTCTGCCAGGCCCAGGCTGTGGTGCGGTGCCCGCCCGGCCCAGGCAGCATTGGGCAGGCTCCTCAGCAGGCGCTCGGCGCTGCGCCGCACCCGGGGATTTCCGGGCTGGGCCCATGGAGCCCTGCAGCTCGCTGGCTGCGGCCTCGGGTCTAGATCCTCGCAGAAAAGCCGTTGGAAACAAAAGCGGAAGGAACTTTCTGGCATCTCTGCCCGCAGCAAACAGCGACCACAGCAGTCAGGAGCAGGCAGGGAGGCAGCTTTATTGTGCACTGGCAGGCCCCTTACAGCGCCCGTTTCACCGAGGCTCCTGCTGTCTGGCGACGAGGCAGGCTCCGTAGTTGGGAGGCGCGGGGGGAGCCGAGTGATGGTCCCGATCGGGCTCTGGGCCTGGGAAGGAAGCGGCTGTGCACTGGCAGAAGAGGAACAAGGCAAGGGAGCGGCTCCTCTTTCCTCTGCCGCAGGGGCACACGCGTCTGCAAACAGGAACCTGCTGGGGCAAGCCCCCCCCCACACGTGCACACACGCACAGCTGTCCCTTTCCCCGAGTTCATGGCAGCACCCAAGGCCTCCAGGCCCCCTTCCCTGCCGGAGCCTGTGGCAAAGGTGTGGCGCTCTCTGCACCACCCACAGCCAAGAGGTGATCTGAGAATCCTGCTCACGCCAGACCAACTGCTGACTGTCTGCAGTGGCAGGAAGAGGCCCGGGCACCCTGGCTGCCAGCCGCAGCCTCGCTGGCTGGATGGCCGGGGGCCACAGCAGACTGCACTGCAGCAGCATGCTGGTGGGCAGTGATGCATGGGGCTCTAGCGTAGAGCAGGCGCCGGCGTCGCTACACTGGTTGGGAGCGGGACAAGACTAGGCTGTGGGGGCAGCAGCACGTCCCATCAGCCTGGGGCCAGGCGGGCGCATCCTGGAGCCGTCTCCATCCACAGCAGGGGCTGTCGCTGCCCGTGGGCATGCTCTGCTTCAGGTGGCGCCGAAAGAGCTTTGGACGGACACGATATTCCCGATGGCTGTCAGGCGTCTCGCTCAGCGGGAGTGATCGTGTCATTCCAAAGCAATCTCTCTCCAGAGGGCTGTCCCTCGCCAGCTCCAGGGTCCGTCCCGGGCGGCTGGGGCCCTTCCCTGGCAGGCAGCAGGCCCAGCGTCTGTCCCCTACCCCCCACCGCGCTTGGAGCTGCAGGACGCACGTATGCATCGCGTGATCCCGCTGGTCGCTCCAGCCTGCTGCAGGTGGCCACATCCACGTTGTGGCTGGCAGCCGGCGGAGGCTGCTGCTGCTGTGGCGGTTTCTCCCCAGGAAGCTGGGGTCTATCTTTAGCTCGCAGGAGCACGAGACTGGTGTAGAGCCTGGGCTCGGCCTGCTCCCCGTCCCCCGCTCCCCCCGGGGGCTCCCGCGGGGTGGGGGCTGGCCGGCATCCGGGCCCTGGCAAGGTGGCCCAGGGCAGGGGGAGTGTGGGCGGGAGAGCAGGGAACGAAATCCAAGCGCAGCTGAGGTGCCGAGCGGAAGACAGCTGCTTTTGGGATTCCGTTGCCCGCTGTCGCGCTGTCGGGGTGCCCGAACGCCGGGGTGGAGTGGGCGAGTCCGTCCTCAGCATGTGTGGCTGGGGGCAGAGTGAGGACACGGGGGGAGGAGGACCACGACTTACCGGAGCTGTCCTCACGGCACCCCGTGAGTGCAGGAGGGGACCAAGGCCGCCGGCAGCCACAAGCCCTGTGCGGGGAGCAGCTGCCCTGTAGCAGGGAGCTGGGGTCAGGGCTGTTTGGCCCCTGCGGCCAGGCTCCAGTCCTGTCTCCCGGGGTAGAGGGACGGGCCCTGCGGCCTGGCTGGCCCGTGTGGAGCTGGTGCCGGGGGTGCTGCCC